GTGGTGCTGAGGGACCTGGTTCAGTGTGGGGCTGGGTTCATGGTTGGACGACACCTTGAAGATGCAGTAGCTCAGAACATCCCGTTTATTACCCAGGCATTAGGCTATTTCATTTCTTCCCGGCAGGAGCGAGCTCCCTGCTGCACGTGGGGAGCGCCGGATCTAGAGCCACGGCGCTTCCAGCCCTTTCTTTTCTCTTAAACGTTATATTTAAAAATAGAAACAGCTGCTTTTCTGTTAATCCAGATGCATTTCAAGGGCTGTCCTAAATCTGATTTCCCCGCTTCTCATGTCGCTGTGTCAAACCTGTCACCTCCTGCGAAGGGCCATTCGTTTCCCACCGCGTTTTTAGGAATCCCTCGGCACCGTTACCAACCAAAACCCCAGAACTGGGGAGATTTGGGGCTTAAATTACTCTTCTAGCTAAGGTTTGTCCTGGTGTTTGGTTAAAAATCCCGACTGAGAGGCTGATGGGGACAAAGCGCAGTATCTCTGGGCTTGGAAGGTCTCACTCAGGTGGGTCTGGGAATGAGATGGAGGAACCCTGGTCCTGGAACTTGGGGGATGATTTCATTCCCACCCTGACCTCTCCCTTTTTGCCCTCCACAGGATTATTATAAGATAATTAAAACTCCGATGGATATGGGAACAATAAAGAAACGCTTGGAGAATAACTACTACTGGAACGCTCAAGAATGTATCCAGGATTTTAACACGATGTTTACAAACTGCTACATCTACAATAAGGTACGAAAAGTTCCCGAATCTGCCTTTTTCCAAGGGAAATCTTCCGTGGCCTCGTTGGAAATGCAGGCGACGCTTGCTGGAACGGTCCGACAAGCTGCCGAGCTCAGCTTCGTTAGGAAAACGAACGGGATGAAACCGATGGGAGCTCGGGTGGGGTTGGCTGAGCAGCCTTCCCTCCCGGTGGGGTTATCGGCAGATGTCTCCAGTCTAGGCTAGGTTCTGCTCGCTCTTTTTTTTCTTAAAAGGAAATTTTGAAGATTTTCTTAGGGTCTGACTTGAGCAGAGCCACGGACGTTGCCGAATGAATGCTTGAGCAGTAGAGCTGGCCTTCGTCTTGTCTCTGGCTTTGTTAAGAAGCCAATTTAAGGCTGGTTCGAAACTCTGGTAGGGAAGAAAACCCGGGGATAGACGGAGCAACATTGAGTGTGTCGTGCCGGACCCTGACCTCGTTGTAGAAGATTCCTCTCCAGAGAGCGAGAAACATCCTGAAAAGTTTTATGGACAGTTGTGCAACTGTCTGGCTTGCAGGAAGAAACATCTGGAGGGAGGAGGAGCGTCCCGGGGCATTTCCACACACAGCGGTGGGGGGGCAGGGGGCCTGTGTCGGCCAAAACCCGGCGGCGGTGGAGCTCGGGTTGTCGGCGAAGGTTCTCGGAGGTGGTACCAGGCCGTGCTGAGCGCAAGGCTCTCGCTGGTTGTCTTTGCCCTTCTTACAGACGGAGGGTTTCCTGCCGTCCTCGAGGTCGGCGAGGCGTGGGCAGAGCCTCAGCCCGCCCTCCAGCCGCTTCCTCGCCTGACCCCTCCGCCTTTCCCACCGGTGTTTTGGTTCCCGTTCGGTTTCTGCCCTCACTGGCCTTTTCTCTCTGTCCCCGCTGCTTCACCCTCACGTGCTTTGACCTTTTTTTTGTTCCTCCTCCTCTCGGAAGCGTTGCACAAGCCCTTTCTAGTTGGGTCCAAATCAGTTTGGGTCCTTCCAAACCATCTTGGCCGTTGCGCTTTCTGGTTTGAGCCGGCACGATGCAACTCGAGCGCGGGTGGGCTCTTAGCTTCAGGGTGCTCGCGTACGCCTTGAAGTCTTCTCCCGCCGCAGGGTCTTCCCCCTGCCAGCTTTCTCCCTCATCTCTCCTGTCCTCCCTGATCTTCACTGGTCTCCTCCTCGCTGGTCTCCTCCAGGCTGGGGGGCAGACAAGCATCTGAGCTGAAGAAACGTCTCCGTGGAGCTCGCGGAGCCTGCGGGCCGTCAGCCGGGCGGGTTGGTGGGCGCCGTCCGCTGGGACAGGCGCGGTTTTAGCCATCCTCGTGCCGATGGCGGAGCCGGAGCTGCCTCCTCGTGGTGTCACCGTGCCGTGACCGCGGCGGCCGTTGGTTTATCACCTTCCCATCAGCCCGGACTCCGGTTCTGTTGCTGCCTGCTCTTCCCTCTCCGACAGATTTTATTACTGTCCACAAAACAGCTTTAAACCTTCGTTATCTCTTGCCTCTTCCCACGCTGGGTGGAAGATCTCACCCTCTCTAGGTGGCACCTCGTGGGGGTTTCTCCTCCAATACGTCTCCTCGGTGATGTCCCTGCCCCTCACCTGGTTTTACCTTTAAAATCAAAGAGCTCGAGGGCCGGGGTTTGTCGCGTATTCGGGGCTCGGGACAGCATCTCGCGTGCCGTTCCGCTGCACCGCCGAGGGAACAGCAGCGCTGAGGAGGGTGAAGATACAAACTCCTCGCTCTGGAAGCGTTTCCAGAAATTTTCTACATATATTTATATAAAAGCATCTATTTCCATATGTGCCTTGCCTAATTTATTGTTGTTTTTTTTTTCCCCTCCAGCCAGGGGATGACATAGTCTTAATGGCAGAAGCTCTAGAAAAGCTTTTCCTGCAGAAAATCTCCGAAATGACCCAGGAGGAAACGGAAATCGTTATAGCCCAGACGAAAGGAAGAGGACGCGCGAGGAAGGAAGCAGGTAGGACGCTCGCTCGTGCGCCGGGAAGCCGCGCTCGACTTCACGCGGCGGCGTCTGGACCGCAGGCCCCGCACCCCTGGGGCTTTTCCTGCGTAATTGGGGTGTTAATTAAACCCAGCCGTCCTTCCATGGGACGGCCGCGGTCGTCGGTGTTCTCAGCGCCTCGCTTTGTGGCGTGGAGTGTCTGAAACGGGGCGGGAAGGAGAGCGGCTGCCTCGTGCTCTTGCCCTGACCTGCGCGAGACTCTCCCTGGTGAAAGGCAGGGGTAGGTCAGGCCTCGGGAGTCCCTCGTTCATGGCTTCTGGGCATCGTTTTTGGGGGAGGAGGAGTGCTGGGGGGCAGACCGCGGTGCGTACAGCACGGCTACGGCACGTGGTGCCGGTGAAACATGGTCATTCCTGGCTTTTCCACGGAGAGAGCGACAGTAAAAGTGTTTGATTGCTGCTGCCGGCGAGCCGAGATGGTGAAATCTCCCTCGAGGGTCAAGTACAGCTGCTAAGTCGACACCAGCTCTGTTGTGTCAGAGCTCTTCGAGTTTCCCAGCTGCTTTTCTCGGCCTCCCGGTGCCGTGAAAAAGCTGCGTTGCGTAAAACGCCCGTCAGGCAAGGGGGAGCCGCTGGCAACGTGACGGCTACAGACCGACGGGGGAACCCGGGTGCCGAGAGGGTCTGAAAATGCGTCCCAGCGTCGCAGCCCACCGCTGTCCTCCGTGGAACTCCCTCATGTTACGGTTTCCACACCTCATTTATTAATTCTGCGATGATTGGGGATAGATAATGATGCCGGGCGAGGTACCGTCCGTCGAAAGAGCGCGTCGCCCCAAGCGAGGCGGAACGCCGCTCCCCACAGATGAATTTGCTTTGTGCAGACCTGACCAAAATCCCCTTTTTTTTTTTTTTCTTGTGGCCAGACCGATTAATTTGCCGTGCCTTGCTCTTTTCCGGGGCTGAGATACTACCCTGCGCGCTTCAGGCGCTGCATAAAGTTGAGATGTGGCGGGTTGAACCCAGTTTAAGGCTAGAAACGGGTAAAAAGGGTTCTGTGTTTGTGCTCTTGATCCCTTAAACTTTTTTATTTATACCTCGAGGAATCCGTTAGCTCATTTTTGGGGATACCAACCCTTTGGCAGTGCCATCGGAGGGTGGAGAGCATCCCAGCCGTAGCTTGATCTCAGCAGCACCTCATCAGGCGCTTTCAAGATCCCCTTCTTAGATTTAAAACTCTCTCGTCTGGATCTTGTCTCATTCTCACTCTTTTAACCCAAATGCTGTGTGATACCGAGGAAAACGTCCCGTGCAGGAGCGTCCCCGAGCTTGTGTCACCAAGAAAAAGAGGCTCCGGCCCTATTTATGGCCTGCGAGCCTTCCGGAGAGCTGGGACTCCTCGCGTCCCTTCTCCTCTCGGCCTCGGACTGGTGGTACTGGGATCCCAACGGGTGGGATTGAGGTTTACTGGAAAATCAGCAGGAGATGTCCAGGGAGCTCGAGGGCCGCCCCTCGGAGGGTTTGGGGAGCAGTTGTTGGGGTAACAGAGAAGACGTCGGACTCGGGTAGTTGCTGGCGAACGTCCTCGGTTGCTGTTGGAAGGGAAAACCCTTTCTGTGCTGCCATCACCCGGACAGCGAGGGCAAAGTCAGAGCAGGAATATTTACCAAATCCCCTGAGTCTTCCCTCATTTGTTCTTGTGCAATGGGTTTGCGTGGCAAGGTTTTGGTAACGGGGGGGGTTACAGGGGTGGCTTCTTTGAG